TATAGCTAGTTTCAAGATTAACGAACAATTGATACTAATAAATACTGAGATTCTTAATCGAAATATTCTAAATAAAACTCTCAGGGTGCTGTCTACGTAACTTACCTTGAAACTAGCTATTCTTTTGCCCGTAGGGGCGTGATCTGGAGCGATTTGGCATGGGACCATTCTTACACATGCCATACAGATTTCTGTGGTGTTCGAATGAAATGTCCACAAAGCCTTACGTACCCGCACTACTGTTGTCATGAGTAGGAATCTAGAATGCCAGGGAGAGTTTATACGTCTTTTCTTCGATAGAGGGAGCTCACGTGAATTTCCAAAAATGTGTTTCCCCTCATTCCAATCTAGGACTTGTTGGCTTTCACTCTTTGTTCAACTTTTACCATACTCCCAATCTGGGGGGTTTATATGGAACTTAAATTGGTGTTTCCGCAAATCCTCTGTTCGCTCAAATTTTTCAACCAAATTCAAAACTTTTTGAATTTGGTTGAAATTTAATTAAGCTATTTTCTTGTTTCCGATTGAATTTAGAGTTCTTTTTCAAATATTGAAAACCTAGAAAATCTAAAAAAATGCAAGAAGTAATTATGTTTCACATATTTCCAAAAATTAAAAAAAATAGCCTATGAAGTTCACATTTTTACTAAACATATGAATTAATTGAATATTATAACAATGGAATTCGAAACGTTTTCAAGTCATTGAATTAAACTATTTCTCCACACTCAGAAATCACAACTTTCTCGGATGGTTTCCCGCCTTGACTTCCACATTTTTCCATTTTTTTCACAACATCCATGCCACTAATAACTTTTCCGAAAACGACGTGTTTTCCATCCAACCAGCTCGTCTTTTCCGTGCATATAAAAAACTGCGAACCGTTCGTATTAGGACCTGCGTTCGCCATTGACAAAACACCCGCTGCGTCGTGCTTCAGTTTGAAATTTTCATCACTGAATTTAGATCCGTAAATGGATTTTCCACCGGTACCGTCGCCTTTGGTGAAGTCTCCCCCCTGGCACATAAACTGCGGTATGATCCGGTGAAAGGTGCTGTTCTTGAACCCGAATCCTTCTTTATGTGTGCAGAGACTCCTAAAATTTTCGGCAGTCTTTGGAACTACATCTGCACGCAGTTCCATGACTATTCTTCCTGCGTCTTTCTGTCCTATTTTCACGTCAAAGTACACCTGCGGGTTTTTTATGTTCGACATTATGCTCCGAAAAACGATATTCGCTCGATTGAACCCGAAAATCTGGAAATTATTGACGTTGAGTACTGTCAACATTTAATCGAAATTGATAACTTGATCTCAATTAATGAGTTATATTGTTGATTTTCATACGTCGCTTTCAAACCTGTAATGATAAAATAAGAAATAAAACACTGTTTTCTTGATTTGTACACATTTATAAAACAATTGTGTACGTTTTATCATTACCATGGCTTCTCCTAAAATCGCTTATTCAGTCCAAAAATTTTTTTCGGAGAACGTTCTTTCAAGTAAAAACCTGTAAGTGCTTCAATTTTCCAAATGATTGGCTCAGTTCTCAACCCAATGAAATTAATTTAATTAAAATAAGGGTGAAGATGTGGAGCAATTGAAAATTAGAGAATGTATTCTCTAGATATGTGAACATTCATTCAAATCCAAGACGACATCGAAATGAAGGATTAGACATTGTGGATAAACGAACAAATCTTGGTATTTACAAATATGTAGCCACATTTGGCACTGACATATAAGCCAGAACTGCATAGATGACTGTAGGTATACAAAATAAAATTTATCATTTAGTCAATTTTTGTGTCGGTGCATAACCGTTCAGACATAAGTCGGGGTAACACCCCGAAACAATTGTCAAGTATTTATTTATTATAAATTTACTACTTATTACTTACTTACTTATTTTGAGCTTAACTCATCTGACTGAAAGGAACTGGTAGACATCGTAATCTTCTGGAGGCACGTGATAATGATAATAGGTCTCCTTTTTCATCGTTAGAGCCCGTCCCTTCGGAAGGACGAAGGAAAGTAGTTGTAAAAACAGAAGAACTGGCTCAAACTTTTTCTCACTCAGTTCTAGCCGGATGAAAAGGTTATAGTCTATATAGTAGTCGCATTTGTGAAACATTTTTATGTCCATCCCTTCAGAGTTCAATCCAAATAATTTTCAACCACACTACTTTGTCATTATATGTGTACACTTTTGTGAACGTATTGAAATCCCCCAATGGCTTGGTAGTAAAAACCTCTCTCGTTTGTGTTCTATGATATTTTTTCAATGTTTGTAACCCTGTTGGATTTTCTCTGGATATCATCTGAGAAAATAACACCTTAGGAGACTCATTAAATATTTACTTCTATTAGTAATTTACTGTAGTATGTTTTGAATTACATGATTACAACCGACTATGCTCATCCTACAAAATAACATTAACAAAATTTTGTAGAGCTGCTGGGATTTCTTTCGCGCTATTATAAAAACGAACCTGATTAATAGAATTCAATTGCCTGTAATACATTGATTTCATCTTAAATATAGCGGGGGTGTCAAGATCTCAATAGATAATTCGCACCAAACTACAACATGAACAGCTATTTTGGCAAAGAGCCAAAAACCCCTCAATAATTAAGTACATTGAGACACGAAATAATACACAAAAATAACTAGGTAGGACTTACCCGAAGCTCTTAAATCGAAGCTATAGTTCTTGTCTTTGCCACTTCCATCACCTGAAAAATCACCAACGATAGTGAAGAACACACTGTGGATACATCGCCACCATATGAGTTGGTGAACTTGGCAGGATAGACAACTGTGGCACGGAAAGCTTGGGATATTTTTAGTAGTTTCAGCACAAAAACGGCAAATCTGAACATTTAATGGTTAAGCAAGAATAGGATTGATCCACTCAAATTATTATTGAAATAGATCCACATCAGTTTGACATCCAAACTTTTATCATACTTTAGCCTAAATCACGAAAGAGTGTGATAAAACTGATGGAAAACTCAAAAAAAATCCAATGAGAAAAAATAAATATACATACATACTCGTATATACATCAAGAAAACCTGCAGAGGCTTTCAGACCAATCAGGCGAGACTAAGTAGGGCAATACATCTCATTCACTGGTGAATACAGTGAAATGCTGAACAATTTCAAATTTGGGGCATTTTCAGACCTGAGCGATACAAAAGCTCATCGTGAGAAGCCAATTGGTGATTCGCAGAAAAGTAGGACGTAGACGGGTTTCTTGGTGAAAAAATGTGAGAAGAGCGGACTAAGTAGAACTTTCGTATTGCAAAAAGTCGTAGAACACTAAGCCAATGTTATTGTCAACGTCAGGGACAGAGTGTGGAATGTTGGCCCTAAGGAACCTTGCCTGCTAAACGCAGAAATCAAACTTGGATATGTCTACATCCGGCGACATAAATCACAGCATTACCGATGGGTGGAATAAATGGCGTGAGCTTACTGGAATCTCATGTGATCCAAAAATGCTTATAAAGACAAAAGGGAAGATCTATAAATCAGCTGTCGGACCAGTTTTACTCTATGGTAGCGAAACAGGGACTTTAAAGAAGAATCACGAAAAACAATACATACTACAGAAATGCGTATGTTGCGATTGGCAGGAGGAGTTACAATGAGAGACAAACTAAGGAAGGAATTCATCCGGGGCACTATTAAAGTTGCACCGATCTCGGACAAACTCACCGAGTTCAGACTAAGGTGGTATGGTCATGTTAGGCGACGTCCCAAAGACCATATGATAAAAAAGTGATATTCCATTGCTACATAAAAGGGAGGGAGAGGTATACCACCACCTTCTTGGTTGACGAATTTCCAGAAGGATATGAAGAGGTTGGGGCTATCGGATGACGATGCTAACCAGCGGAATTAATGGCGCCTCAAGATTAAGTAACCCCGAGCAACGGGACAAGGCTGCGCCAAAGAATAAGAAGGGACACTCTTCAAATGACCTATACCTCATTAGAAGAAGCATCATATCGATGAAGAGTACTTCATTCGTTTGTGACAAAACAGATGTATTGAGTTAAGAATGTTAATGTTAATCTGTAGTATGTAGAACTAGAACAAGATTGTCGAATTGAGAGAAGAAAAATTCCAAATCATCTCTATAGAAGAAATAGAAACATTGATAAGGATGATTCTTATAGGTGTACATAATTCTTTAAATAATCATATTTTGTTCCAATTAATGCAGATGGAAATGCGGTTAATGAAATGCATGTTAATAGGAGCAAAGTTTACCAAATATTAACTTACTTCTTTGGTACATTCGAATGTAATATTTCTGTATGTCATGTCAGGAACAAACAGAAAATTTATCATACGACTAGTTATTCCAAGGATTTGATAGTGCAAAATATTATATGACAATTAAACGCTAAGGAGATAAAATGAGTGCCCCCTGACTTTCTCATCATTTCTGACTTTGCCTGCAACTTCTAACCTATCTTCGACCACTGATACTTTAAAAGTAATTATTGAATGAATAAAAAATTGTTATATAATATTTATGATACTCCGTAGTAATTTCAGATCAAAATGTTATTTATATTTTGAATACCCATCATATCTTCAAGAAAAAGGTCTTTTTCTTGAGATTTTGAAAGATAATAAATTTTCAAAAAAAAAAGCTTTTCAGGTAATTGTACTTCGTACCCTTTTATACTAAGTCTCGCATTTTTAGAGGGGGAGCTTAATGTTATTGCTCTCTTTCGTTTTAGTTTGTGAGGTGGATATATGTTAGGCTTCTACAAGTTGTACAATAAAGAGGTCTCCAGGATGAGTCTCGTCATTAGAATCTTCCCGTCACTGTATTTTTATTTGTACAATTTTTTTTTTCAGTGGATGTACAGTTTAACGTCGGTTCCGAACGGCCATTGGGCTTGTAATCAATCTACTTTAGCCAGTTTATTTCATTATTTAAACTACTTGAATCACGACATACACAAACACCCATGCCTTCATCGGGACTCGAACCCAAGTTCTACCGCACCATAGTCGGGTGTTCTCCCGACTAAGCCACGGAAACCGGCTAATTGTACTATTATTTGTATATTCTTAATAAACCTCATTGTTTTTTCTAAATGGTTTTTCAACCAATTGTTTCCAAGTTTATCAAAATGTTTATCATTATGTACAGATTTCTATATGTTTATGTTTACTTTCCGATTAGGTTTTTCCTATTGTTTTCGATATCTCTCCGAATATTACATATTCCATTTTCTATTGAATTTTTATTCTCTAATCCGTTCTATAATTGTCGGATATAATAAAAAACTATTATCAAAATTAATTCATCTTTATATCTTGTTTATATTATTCAATTTGGAATTTCTATAGTTTTGTGCTTAGTCGGATGTGAAATAATCATAACAGGTGTTGATTCGCCTTATCATCTGCAATATGTGGAAAATGTTTATATATAGTATGTACCAAAAAATTTGGAAAATACTATCAATGACAAACAAAAGAAAACCTTCTAGTTCAATTTATATTCTATGATTTGATAAATTTATCAAACATAATAACACAACCTAATAAGCAATAATGCTGATGGGATTTGAAGGAATGTTTGTACCCGTATAATAAGATAATATACTTCCGGCGAGAATGCTGAGTCAGATTTCCCTTAGATACACAATGGAACTATTCATTAACGAGAATCAATGTTTTTTATCGTTACAGATAGTTGACGTTATAAAGAGCGAAGGAAGAACGTTGCTGAATTTTATAAGCCACTTCTCATTTTAATTTAACGTCGTTTAAATATAAATATCGATTTCGATATTTCTCTAACATTCTCTTGGTTAATTTTAATTTTTCGAATGAATGTTCCAGCGTACTACTAACGCAACCTATTGAAAACATCATGTGATGGCATTTGTCAAATAGACGTTGCAATTTAGTAGATACCTACGGGTTTAGAAGATTGGACGGTCGATGCTTGGTGCGCCTATGATCTGAGAGATATTTTCTATTGATCCCTATAGATGGAATTGTGAAGTATTCTTTTAGACGCTCCCTAATTCTCTCGAATATTCTCTTAATCTCTCTTAATATTCACTCTCGAAAGTGATGGGTTCGTTCTCGTTGACAACATTTGTGTAGACAGCTCCCTGAGAGTTTTATTTGAAATATTTCGATATTTCGATTAAGAGTCTCAGTATTTACTAGTATTGAATTACCTGTGAATCTTTGAACTAGCTACATTTTTGCCTGCCTGGGCGTAATCTGGAGCGATTAGGCATGGGATCATTCGTACACATTTCAGAAATTTTCTGTTGTGTTCGAATGAAATATCTACAAAGCCTTCCACTCTCACTCTTGTTGTCATGAGTAGGAATTTTGAACGCTAGGGAGTGTTTATACGTCCTTTCGCCGACAGAGGGAGCCTACGTGAGTATTTCACTCTGTAGAATCTCTCTTAATTTGGTATAGGACCTATGTTGGTTTTGAAAGTCATCGATTCTTCATTGATGGATTAAATATGGACTGATGATTCATAATAATGATGAAACAATTGTATCCTATTATCATTCAACAAGATCGATGAATTTTTCGAAACGCTCTTAATATTAACTCTCGAAAGTGATGGGTTCGTTCTCGCTGACAACATTTGTGTAGACAGCTCCGTGAGAGTTTTATTTGAAATATTTCGATATTTCGATTAGGAGTCTCAGTATTTACTAGTATTGAATTATCTGTGAATCTTTGAACTATATATATATATATATATATATATATATATATATATATATATATATATATATATATATATATATAATCAGAATATTAACCTGTTCGATTTCTTCTATTATGAATTTTAACTGGATGGACAAATAAAATTCTTAAATTTGCAGTTTCAGTCATTGCATTTGTAATACTATCGCTCGAAGATAATGTTTACTTTGCTTATCCATACATTTGTTCTCATAACTTGAACAAAGGATGTATTATTCTTAATCACATCAATGCTCTGACATTGAGTAAATTTTGCGTCTGGAATATTTGAAGCGAAGAATTTCCCATTGACAATGTCATATTTTTAAGACCGTATGAACAACGATTGTAGTCGTTGCTTTACGCCTTTTAGCTCTCCCCCTTTCCATAATGATACGTTTTGAGGTTTGGGAAAAAGCACCTTCCTACCCAAAATCGATTGTATTTTTTTCTTTGAATTCTTAGTTTATTTAAATTCTAAACAAATTGATAATCTTCAATATTGATACAAATAGAATAAGGACATGTAAAGATAAAATCCAACCGTAATAACTAGCCTATGAAAGCAGGTCTGCGCCAATTCGAATGTAATAAAATGATATTTCAAGTTGTTTTAACAACTGTCTTGAAAACTTTAGGAGACGCAAGGTGTGCCACGTCTGGTGACACAAAAAAATAAATACACATGATTCTTTTCACTACACTCATTCCCACATCTTATGTTTCATAATATCTTTCGGAACTCCTTCCTCTTTCAAACATCACGTGATTAACTAAATAAATATTGTATAACGTGCTCCCCGATAAAATAACAGGGATAACCCTGGCTAGCTCCAAAATTTAGGAGACGTATATAAATTCACCTGATTTGTATGCAATATAGACAGTGAAACTAATTAACTTAATATTTAAAATTTCTATTAATGATCCAAAGATTACAACTAAAAATTAAGGAAATATATAAAAAAATTGAGATTGAAGATCTCTCTTATCTTCAGATCCGGCACTCTTCTTCCTTTTTCGGTGTTGGTTTTACTCCTCGGTGTTTCCAACCTGAAGAACGGTCTTATACTCGAAAATTAGTGTCCTTATTGAACAGAATCTTCTGTCCACAACTCCAGGGGAAATTGCGCTTGAAAGCGCACTCAAAATTATCAAAAAAAAAATTCGATATTAATTAAATTAAGTTGAAGATACAAGAAGATAAAGTTGAAAATAAGAATATTTTAATCGAGGTCTAACTCCGTGAATCTTCAGTTCAGCATGAATAAATTAATAACCGGGCTATACTCCCCACTTACTTCGGCGCACTTCGAATTACGATTATTCCATAAGGTGTTAACAAATATACAATCAACCAGTGTAAAGTATTTTAAAACGTTACAATTGGCAATATAAAATTTGCGGAACATCCACAGTATGTGCTAATAGAGGAAGATTCCGAGATGGGATCCGAAAATACGGTAAAGGTGGGATACAGGGATATTCTTCGTATTTCGTTTCATGATGAACCATCAAGCCCGGTCTTTTCAAATACGGTTAAACTTCTGGGCACTTGACATGCTCCGTAAGTGGGCTTAAATAATAAAACATTGAAAATTCCTTTTCTTCTGAATATAATATTCAAATATTGTTCTACTTCATATAGAAGATAATTGAAATTCATTATCTGAGGCAATCACTGTTGACATTATAACGTTACAATCTTGTTTAGTGTCATATCTTTTCGTCAGAGTTTAGTTTTGTTAGGTTATGTTGGTACTCTTTCGTTTTACTGTTAAGTAGGTCTGATTGTTGTGTTGTTTGTAAGACGATGGAAAGTTAACCTGACTGAAAAAAAAAGTTGGCTGCTATTTTTTTCGGAAAAATGATCAGATATTAATTTTCATCAAGATAGGAGACGTGTTAGACCTTCATCAAATTATATACTTTTTTTTTTATGGAAATTTGCTTTGTTGAGAAGAATACGTACTCAGTATTGGGATCATTTGCTGGTTAATGAGATTGAATTCTCGCTTTACTCTTGGTGAAACATAATTGAATATTAAAATAAATTAAACTCTTGGCTTAATGTTTCACGATTTATTTAACAATATGTATAGTCAACATATTTCGAGCGTTAGCTCATTTTCAAGACTGAGCTAATACAATGTTCTGAGAATCCAGTTTTATTAACATTGTACAAAATCGACCTTTTATGTTCATCAACCCGAGTTTTTATTTTTCTACCTGTTTGGCCGATATAAAATGCTGGACATTCATTACAAAAAATCTTATAAATACCGCTTTTGTCTTCAACATTTGTCTTTTCTTTATTATTTACTAAGAGTGACTTAATATTCCTTTTGTTTGTACAAATGGTTTTAATTTCTCTCTTCTTTAATCTTTCGCAAATTTTTTCACTCAGATGAGGTATGAAATTAATAAAATGATATTTTTGTTCGTTTTTAATTCATTCATTTTGTTCATTCATTTAATTGTTCATTTTCAGTCTTGAAAATGAGCTAACGCTCGAAACATGTTGACTATACATATTGTTAAATAAATCGTGAAACATTAAGCCAAGAGTTTAATTTATTTTAATATTCATTTGGTGGTCGTTGAATTCTTCTGGCATTGGTTCGTTATTTGGAAATTGTGTTTGATTTCGAAATTTGGAACAGCAGAAGTGCCCTTCAGGGGATCAAAGCACGTGTTCTTGATACACAGTAAACCGCACACGCACACAACGTCTTTACGTAAGTCCAGGTATTTTCAGTTAAGTTTTGATTGCTTGTTTCATGGAGGATTTTGTTTCAGGGTTTTCGTTTTCATTTTAATTTTTACGTCGTGTGTGTGTGTGTGTGTGTATTAAATCTTGTGTGTGAGATCGAAGTTGTATACAAATTTATAACTAGATAGCATAAGTAAGTTATAACATCGGTTTAATAGAAACAATATAGAAGAAATTCCATAGAAAAAATAACCTTCGATTTGTAAACTCTTCAGAAGAAAAAACTAATTATTGAAGAAAACGTAATTTTGTTCGATTTCTTAATACTAATTGGATTTTTGAAAACTTAGATACATATTTTCATGTGACATCATTTCGTCGAGAAAATTAAAACATGACAAATACATTTTCTGTGTTTTTGTTTATCACAGAATTCGAAATAATTTGTGTGGCATTTATGATGGTGTATATTGTTAAAAGCTTCAGAAAATTGGAGTTCTGAATTTCTGAACAAAAACCTGATTTTGAGTCTGAAATCGGCAAATTTATATCTTATAAATCATTTACATCTGTGAAAAAACACTTTCAATTCTCAATTTA